TTTCAATGTACATTCCTGTGTGACTTATGATATTTAACATCTTTCACATGTTTATTGAGATCCATATATTTTTCATGAAGTGTACACTTAAGTCTTTTGTGTATTTTTTATTATATATATATTTTATTTTTGTTGGATTTTTAAAGTGTTTTTTATGTATTACTAGAGGCCCGGTGCATAAAATTCATACACAGGGGAGGGGGTGTACCCTTAGAACAGCCTGCACCCTCTTCAATCTGGAACCTCTCAGGAGATGTCCATCTGCTGGTTTAGGCCTGATCCTGGGGATGGCCTGTCATCCCTCTCACAATCTGGGACTGCTGGCTCCTAACTGCTCACCTGCCTGCCTGCCTGATTGCCCCTAACTTCCCCCTCCTGCCAGCCTGATCACCCTTAACCACCTCTGCTTGCCAGCCTTGTTGCCCCCAACTGCCCCCTCTCCCACTGGCCTGGTCACTCCCAACTAACTCCCCCTGCCGGCCTGGTCGCCCCATGCAGCCTGCTGTTCAGTTCTTTGGTCATCTCTCACTAACCTCCTGCCAACCTGGTCACCCCATTCAGCCTGCTGTTTAGCCATTACTGATACTGTGACAGCATCCCAGACAATTTGCATATTCTTCTATTATTAGTATAGATGGATACAAAGTCAGATATACTCTGTAAAAAAAAAAATCTCCTTGTCTGTGGCTTTTCTTCCTATTCATTTATCAGTACATCAGAGCAAACTTTTTTTTTCATTTTGATGAAGTGTAATTTATTCTTTTCTTTTATGGACCAATCTTTTCATGTTGTATCTAAGAATTATGCCTAACCCATAGTTACAAAGATTCTCTCCTTTTCTAATAGTTTAAAGCATTACATTTTATCCTTAGATCTGTGATCCATCTTGAGTTAATTTTTGTTCTTGGAATATGAGATTGATATTGATTTTGTTGCTTATGGATATCCAGTTGTTCTAGCAAATTTATTGAAAAGAATATTCTTTTCACCTTTCTCAAAAATCAGTAACCTATATTTGCATGGGTCTGTTTCTGAACTGTATTCTGTTCTGTATTTGCTGTGATCTATGTCAGGGGTTAACTTTTTCTGTAAAGCACCAGAATAGTAAATATTTTAGGTTTTGTAAGTCAAAAGGCAAAAATCCAAGTTATTATGTAGATACTGTGTAACAAGAGAGAAAACGAATTTCTATGAATTTTTGATAGAATTTAAAATATAATAACTGATAAACGTGCAATACAATATGCAGATGATGCATTGTAGAATTGTATAGATGAAACCTGTGTAATTTTATTAACCAGTGTCATTCCAATAAGTTCAATTATAAATATAATAATTGAGTACAATTTGGTAACACAGCTCTACTAATAAGAAGAATGGAATTGGTGGGGATAATATTTTGTTTAATAAGGGTTCAAAATTAGTGTTTCTTCTCATCAAAATTGGATACAAATGTTCATCTAGTAATGCATATTTATAATAAAATTTTACATATTTTTATCTTTGAAAAATAACTTTTCACAAAAGTGATACATATAGCAGTGGAAATGCTGCACTTTGTAGAGTGCTGAAAAGTACTGCAAAGTGATGAAAGAGCCACATACAGTCTGTCATAGCTATTCAACTCTTCACTGTGGATAAATTTTGCCATAGACAATGTAAATAAATAAGTCTAGATAAGTTCCAATAGAGACTTATTTATAGGTACTAAAATTTGAATTTCCTATAATTTTCACTTATCACTAAAGATTATTCTTTTTTATTTTTTTCAACCATATATACAAATTTAAAAGCATCCTTATCTTAGGAACATATAAAAACAGGCGATATATAGGCTAGATTTGTTCTATGATCTGTAATGTGTTTACCTCACTTCCCTATTCTGTTTCTATCCTTGGCCTATACCATGTTGTCAGGATAATTATAGCTTTGTGCTACGTATTAAAATCAGGCAACCTGAATCTTCAACTTCGTTCTTTTCCAAAATTGTTTTGGCTATTCTAGTTCCTTTGCTTTTCCATATAAATTTTTTAATCAGTTTATTGATTTATACAAAAAAATCCTGCTTAGAATTTTGTTGGAATTATGCTTAATCTACTTTGGGTACAATTGATATCTTAACAATATTAAGAGAACTGGTATATCTCTAGATATATTTAGATCTTTTTTCATCTGTAGTTTTCTGCATATAGATTTTAGAATTTGCACATATTTTGTTAAATTTATACCTAAGTGTTTCATAGTTTTGGTTAGAGCCACCTTTTTTTAAATGTAGATTGTATCATGTTTCCCCAGTTTAAAACCCATCAGTGGCTTCACACTGCTCTTAGGATAAACTCTAATCTTTAAAAGCCTAAAAACTCTGAATGATCTAGGCTAAATTTAGCCAAATTTTATTCTGTTCTTCACCTTATTCAAAATGTTCTAGTCTTAGACTAGCAGGAAATGGTTTTATCAATTAAGGGGTATAGCTTTTAGAATACTTGAAAGAGTAAATAAAATTTTAAATAAACATTTTAAATATGTATATTTTAACCTTATTAAAGAGCCAAAACCGGTTTGGCTCGGTGGATAGAGTGTCAGCCTGCAGACCGAAAGGTTCCAGGTTCGATTCCAGCCAAGGGCATGTACCTTGGTTGCAGGCACACCCCCAGTAGGGGTGTGCAGGAGGCGGCTGATCGATGTTTCTAACTTTCTATCTCTCTCCCTTCCACTCTGTAAAAAAAATCAATAAAATATATATTTTTAAAAATAGAGCAGTTCAGTGATCTTCAGCAAATCATGAACTTAGAATTTTGCTGGATGGTTGGGCTCTCTGTATGGAATTTTTTGATCTTTAAGTATTTATGAGTATCGTCTGTTTCGTGTTGTTTGTTGATTTGTGTGTGTGTGAGTTTATTTTGTTTTTGTTTTTTTTATTAATCCTCACCTGAGGATATTTTTCCATTGATTTTCAGGGAGAGTGGAAGAGAGAGGGAAAGGCAGAGTGAAACATCTATATGAGAGAAACACATCAATTGGTTGCCTCCTGCACAAGTTCCTACCAGGGCCTGGGCCAGCGAGGAGCCTGCAACCAAGATAGGTGCCCTTGACCAGGATCGAACCTGGGACCCTTTGGTCCACAGGCCAAAGCTCTATCCACTGAGCCAAACCAGCTAAGACTATGAGTATTGTTTACAAGGAACTTAGTTTTGTTTATATTTGTTAAAGAAAATATTTTTTCCTTCCTAATAAACATGCTGAAACTTGACAAAAAGGCTAGTTTTCTGACCAAAGCAAGGGTCCTGTCACTGTACATGAATGAAGTTAATTTTTCCAGCTAAAATGGTTCTTACATTGCATATCTTTTGCCAACTTTATTATAGTATCTAAAGTAGAAATGTAAGACTAATGATATGGTGGGGGAAGGTCTGTAACTATGTGCCTAAGACAAGAGAGTCACAAGATTCATTTTTAAAAATTAACTTTTAAACTTTAATCAACCAGTATTTATTCAGCTCCTTATGCTAGATATATAGAGATGAATATGATATAGCCTAGGACTTAAAGAAGTTAAAAAATTTCTTGAAATGAAGCAACAGTCACAATTAAAAGTGATTATAAATGGAGGTATGTCTAAGTGGCTTTGATAGTACCATGGAGAAATAAGTAGCCCAGTAGGATTAAGAGTTTGATAAGAATACTTAATTTTCAAGATGTAAGACTAGAAAGGAGACAGTCTAAAGGGCTTATTTTCCATTCAATAACTAGAGGTTCCAATACATATAGAATTGTCTGGAGAACTTAAAAAAATCAGATTCCCAGTCTCATCCCTCAGAGATTGACTAGGTATGCCTAGGGTGGTTTCCCAGGTGGTTCTTATTTAGCTAGCAAATTCTAGTCTGTACACTGACATTTAATACATTTAATAGTCAATGCAATAGGTAAGATTGAGCCACAGAATAGTTAAGCTAAGTAAAAAGATGATCATATTAACATTTTAGAAAGTTAAATCCAATGGTAGTATAGAACAGTAAAGTCACCTGAGAATATCATTAAAATGCAGATTTTGATTAATAGATCTAAGATACTGCCTTTCTAACAAGCTCCAAGTTGAGGCTGATACTACTTGACTGAAGACCACTGTTTGAATAACAAGGAAGATAGGTTAGATTAGAATGGGGTGAGACTAAAGACAAAGATCAGTTAACTGCCTATTGCAGGAATCTAGGCAAAATATCTACTTCGTGTTTGATAATGGCAAGAATAAGTTCTAGTGATATGTAATAGGTGAAATTGGGAAGACTAATTTAGTGAGTTAGTAGGATGTGGTGTTAGAAGTGAGGGGAGAGGTGCTGAAGGTTGATCTGAAGGTTGAAGTTTAGCTATCTAGGTTGATGGCATTAATTGAACTAGAATAAAAGACAGAGGACGAAGGTGGCCTTGGGGGTAAAGGTGGGCTGGCTAGAATAGAATAGAATAGAATAGAATAGAATAGAATAGTTACTTAGAGTTGAGAAAAGTGATAACCAGAGGGTTAGTTTTTAATGCATTGAGTTTGAGGAGTCTGTGAGATACCCAAAATGTAAAGGGGTCAGTAGAAAAAAGGAACTCACAATAGACTAAGAAGTGTCAGATATGTTAGTCAGTAGACTAATAAGTGTCAGATATGTCAGCTGTTTGAAAGGCATTTCCAGGAGGGAAAGTCAGAATATCATTGCCACAGAGACATCAAACAAAAGATTAGATATGGTTCTATGAGAGTGCATAAAATTATACTTTAATAACTATCCAAAATGCTAATTGACTAAAAGGATTTTATTAGTTTTTCCTCTCAATCTTTTAATTTAAGGACCAGAGCCAGTTTTTTCAAATTATTCATCATGAAAAGCCTCATAGTGCCTTTTCCATTCAGATTTTCTTCTTTTTCCCCCCCTACAGATCAAGAGCTGCTAGATACAATTGAAAGTTTTGCCATGCACTGAAAGGGAAGCATTGTATGTGAAGTTCTATTTTCTAAAATGTCTGCCTGTAACACCTTTACTGAACACGTTTGGAAACCTGGTGAATGCAAGAATTGCTTTAAACCTAAAAGCTTGCACAAGCTCCCTCCAGAGCCTGAGGAGACAGCCATCACCCACAGCCATGTGAAAACTAATGCCAATCACAGTAACAACCACCATATCAGGAACACTGCAAATTTCCGGCCTCCTGTTGCTAAAAAACCCACTATAGCTGTGAAGCCCACTATGATGGTGGCAGATGGGCAAAGTGTATATGGTGAGCTTAACATCCAAGGACACTGTGAGAACACACCTGTCATTATAGAGAGGAACCGAAATAGGACAGCCTTGAATCAGAAACCACTCAATAATAATAATGAAGATGATACTGAAGGCGTTAGCCATGTTTCTAAACCTTTTGGCAATAATGACAGTGCAAAGAAAATATCAAATAACAATAATGGGCTAACTGAAATGTTGAAGGAGATAGCAGGCTTGGATACTACTCCTCAGATAAGAGTAAATGAAACAAATGCCAAAGAAATATTCTTAGGAAGAATAAATGATTGCTATAAACGATCTTTGGAAAGAAAGCTTCCACCAAGTTGCATGATGGTTGGGATAAAGGATACTCAGGGCAAGCATGTTATTCTAAGTGGGAGCACAGAAGTGATCAGTAATGAAGGGGGCCAGTTCTGTTACCCAGAGTTTTCTAGTGCAGAGGAGTGTGAGGAAGATGTACTTTTCAGTAACATGGAAGAGGAGCATGAAAGCTGGGATGAAAGTGATGAAGAGCTGTTGGCCATGGAGATTCGTATGAGAGGACAACCTCGATTCGCTAACTTTAGGGCAAACACCTTGTCTCCTGTTCGATTCTACGTGGACAAAAAATGGAATACTGTTCCTCTGCGAAATAAGTCTCTGCAGAGAATCTGTGCTGTAGACTATGATGATAGTTATGATGAAATCCTGAATGGTTATGAAGAGAATTCTGTGGTCTCCTATGGACCAGGAAGCATTCAGAGCATGGCATCATCTGACTCCACATCACCAGATTCTTGTTTAACAGAAGAATCACGTTCTGAGACAGCCAGTAGTTTATCCCAGAAGATCTGTAATGGGGGAATATCTCCTGGTACCCAAGGAGATTCTAAGGACATGAAGGAAAGTGAGCCTAATTATGAAAGTCTTTCTGGTAACCATCAAGAGGATTCGTCACAAGCATCCAAAGGCTCAGATAAAGTTCCAGAGACACACAAAGCAGTCCTTGCTCTCAGATTAGAAGAGAAAGATGGCAAGATTGCTGTACAAACTGAGAAGCAAGAAAGAAAAGCCTCTACAGATACTGCTGGGCAAGCAGTAATCATAAACCTCATTCCTGTACAAGAGCAAGCAAAGCCTTACCGCATAGTGAATCTTGAGCAGCCGTTGTGCAAGCCATATACTGTTGTAGACGTGTCAGCAGCGATGGCTAGTGAGCACCTTGAGGGCCCTATTAACAGCCCCAAGACAAAAAGCTCATCTTCTACTCCAAACTCTCCGGTGACATCACCTATATCAACATCAGGACAACTAAGTGCCCATTTCCAAAAATCCAGTGCAATTCGATACCAGGAAGTATGGACCTCCAGTACCAGTCCACGACAAAAGATACCTAAGGTGGAATTAATTAGTGGTGGAACTGGATCAAATGTCCCTCCAAGGAAAAACTGTCACAAATCAGCACCTACTTCACCCATTGCTGCAAGTGTTTCCTCTAAAACCATCCCTGTTAAGTCACCTAATTTGTCTGAAATAAAATTTAATAGTTATAACAATGCTGGTATGCCTCCTTTTCCAATTATCATTCACGACGAGCCAACTTATGCTCGGAGTTCCAAAAATGCTATCAAAGTTCCCATTGTAATTAATCCAAATGCATATGACAATCTAGCCATTTATAAAAGTTTTCTTGGAACAAGTGGAGAACTTTCAGTGAAAGAAAAAAGCACAAGTATGATAAGCCATACTTATGAAGAAATAGAAACTTCAAGCAAAGTGTCTGATGACACCACTGGCAATCTCACTGACTGTCCCCAAGCTAAAGGGTTTTCAAATAGCACAGAATGTAAAAGGGGCTCAGTGGCTCAGAAGGTCCAGGAGTTTAACAGCTGTCTTAACAGAGGTCTGCCTTCCCCACAGAGAAGCTGTAGTTCCAGCCACAGCTCCCCAACTAAGATCCAGAGAACCACTCAAGAACCTGTTGCCAGAACAGAAGGCATTCAGGAGTCTCAGATGGTGGGCAGTGGCAGCAGCAACAAAGAGAATGCAAGCATGGTGCTTTCTCAAATTGTGGCTTCTATCCAACCCCCACAGTCCCCTCCAGAAATGTCTCAGTCAGGTCTTAAAACTTGCAGTGTGGAAGAGCTTTATGCAGTTCCTCCCGAGGTTGATGTTGCTAAAAGTACACCAGTCCGGCCAAAATCTCTCTTTCCATCTCAGGCCAGTGGTGAGCATGAAGCATCTCAGACCACAGAAAATCTTACCACTAAAGTACAGAAAGATCCACTGGCAAAGCAAGTCACAACCTCTCCCTCCAAGTTAGTGATTAACCCCCAGAGTGAGCCATCACCTCCTTTTCCTCCACCACGTTCTACGTCCTCCCCTTACCATGCAAGTAACCTTTTGCAGAAGCATTTCACCAACTGGACCAAGCCAACCAGCCCTACTAGGTCAACAGAAGCTGAATCTGTTTTGCACTCTGAAGGCAGCAGGCGGGCAGCTGATGCAAAACCTAAACGCTGGATATCATTTAAAAGTTTCTTCCGTCGTCGGAAAACAGATGAGGAGGACGACAAAGAGAAAGAACGAGAGAAAGGGAAACTGGTGGGTCTGGATGGCACAGTCATCCACATGCTGCCCCCTCCTCCAGTTCAGCACCAACACTGGTTCACAGAGGCAAAAGGAGAGTCCAGTGAGAAGCCAGCCATCATCTTCATGTACAGGTGTGACCCTGCCAAAGGCCAGCTCAGTGTAGATCAAAGTAAGGTCAGAGCAGACCAGTCAGCAATCATGGAGAAGGGTGGAACACAGGATGGGTTACTACAGGTCTCAGAGGAGGAGAAGAAGAAAAGGAGTTATTCTTCTCCATCACAGATTCCTAAAAAAATTCTCAGGTATGTAAAATAGACTAGCAGAATGTGGAAACTATTTACACATTTATCTTTAAGATTGCATAAGAGCATTTTTTGTTTGTAAGTAGCACATAGGGGCCATCAATCTTTATAACTGCATTCCAAGATTAGAATATTATTGAAGTGCTCTTATTGCACTGAACAAGGTTTATAGCCCTGGATCTTTAGCTAAAGTATCTTATTAAATTCAGTGACTGCTGAGGGGCTTTAACATAGAAAAGCAAATCTATAATACCTTAGTAGCAATAAATGCTACTTTGAAATGCTATGATAGTATGAGGATAAAACAGGAGTAAGTGAATAAAAGGTGGTGGTGTTCTTTCCCTCTTCAAGTGTTATCTCTATATGCAGTATGTTATTTTAAGGGAATATTTGTGTTTTATTGCTGTCTCTGTCCTTCTCCCGAGTGTTATGGAAGGGAGCGTTGCAATTCATAGTTATTTAACAGGTAAGTAAAACAGAAGTTGGTTATTGATATTGAGACCCAAAGTTATAGTCTTCAGTTGGGCAGATAATATACCCACATCAATTCTCTAGGCATTATATTTTATTTTTTATATTTTAACAACTGTTTATTGGCCATCTACTCTGTCTAAGGCACATCCCAAATATTTATCTCAAATACTTATAACAGACCTATAAATTAGTTGTACTCTTAAGATGAGGAAACACAACATCTGGGAAGTTAATAATTGGTCAAATTCATATAGCTAGTAGTTGTCATTCAGAATCAAATCCTGATTTGACTCCCTCTAAAGTCTGAATCATCCAATAATGATGCATTGTTAATGAACACAAGATCAAACAAAAATTTTATATTTTTACTTCTAATCATTTAAATGAACATTTGTGTTTAGGAAACTTAGTTCTTTTTCTTTCTCACATTGTGAGCAAAATTACTGACTACCAATAAAAACAAGAAATAGTTATGCCACATTTGTAGAAAATGGATGATTTCCTTATATACCCTGTCCTTTTTACTATTTTTTGTTTTGCAAGTTAGAAATAATTTTAATATATTCTCTAATAATAATGGGTATGCATACATGCCTGTGTCCCCACAGTTTACAATATATTTCTTGTTTAATTAAATTTATTGGATTACAGGTTCCACCTGTAAAACTCAATAAAATCAAAGATATAACCTGAGTATTCCATTCATCTGATTCTGAGTGTTCTTCCCCCTTGACTTATAATAAACCTTCTCTCTTAGGTTTGGTCTTTTCTTTGGTAAATACAGCAACCTGATGATAGGGTGGTTTCTCTCACCAGCTTTTCTTTAAAAAAGTATAAATAAAAATGAGGTAAACAGTTAATGCCTTCACTTTTTCTAGCAAAATGCCAGGAAGTTTTGTATATATTCTTTCCTAAAGTAAGTTTTCATATATCTCAAATACTTATGACAAATAGTTGTCAAAATGTTAGATTTCCTGTTTTCCTTAAATCCATATTATAACAAAGTAAGTAAAATAGTGGTTATAGCCGAAACTGGTTTGGCTCAGTGGATAGAGCATTGGCCTGTGGACTGAAAAGTCCCAGGTTCGATTCTGGTCAAGGGCATGTACCTTGATTGCGGGCACAACCCCAGTAGGGGGTGTACAAGAGGCAGCTGATTGATAATTCTCTCTCATTGATGTTTCTAACTCTCCTATCCCTCTCTCTTCCTCTCTGTAAAAAAATCAATGAAAAATATTTTTAAAAATAGTGGTTGTAAATGTATTCCTGGAAATAATAGTCTTGTCATTGGTGGTTGAAAGTGGGTGATAGAATGTTGTACTTTAGTAGTAATAAAATGCATATATTCTAAGTTAGTGTTTTCCTTAGAAAAGAAGCAATTTTAGCAGCACGTGGTTGGAGTTACCTGTGAAGGAATGGCAGATAGTAAATGGTTTTGCTCCTCATTAAGAATGTCTGTGGTATATTTATCTGCATCCTGGAAGGCACAGTCAGGGAATGATTTGGGCTCTCTCTGTGGAATGATACTACTTTGGCTGCATGTCACTGTATATGGTCTAGAGAGTGACTCATGCCCTTGACATGGCAGACCCCTTACTGTAAAGTTTATATTTTCACAGATTTTGATTGTAAATGGGCCCTTTCTTTCAAAATTTACCACTTCTTTATAGGTAACATCCATGAATCCAAATGGTGCAATTGGTTTGCCCTTTTGGTTTTCCAGATTATTCCAGCATTATAATAACTGGAGAGTGTTAAAACACAGATTGCTTGGCTCCCACCCCCATAGACTGACTCAGTAGGTCTGAGGTAGTTCCTTATAATTTGCATTTCTAACAATTTTTCAAGTGATAACTGATGCTGATGCTGCTGGTCCTGGGGCCACATTTTTTAAACCACTGACCTCACCACTGTTGTAAATATATGTGCTGTAGTCTAAATAAAAGAATTTTGAAGTATTAAGCTTTTCTTAGAAGCACATTGGAATTTTCAAATTTTATCATATTCCAGACTAAGAAGAAAAGGTGGTATGAAGTAGTTTTTATTAACTTTTGAAAATGTTTAAACATGAATACTCTTATTGAGAAAAGTATACAATTTGCCTTTACAATAATTACCTCATTTACTTGAAGCAACTTTCAGAGGAAAAATATTACTGTCAAATTTCAGCATTTATGTTTCCGGCTTAACTGCAATGTAATCACCCTATGCCTGGAAACACTGCTGGAAGAAGTGAAAATACAAGATTTTCTTTATAGTAAATGAAGATTCCAAATTCAAACTATATATAAGGAAATAAAAGTACTCTACTAAAGGCCAGACCCTAAACTTTGAAAGATGAGAGTTTGTAGAGCCATTCATTATGGGATGAGATTGTCATTAAGTTCATTTATTAGACTGTTCTATCAATATAAATTGAATATTTTAACAGTGCCATAGGGACAAATGGGAGAAAAATTATCACACTGCTGAAATATTGCATATGACTTCAGCTATCCTGTCAGGTCCTTCCATGTATAATGGCTATAATGATACCATATAGAATTAATTAGAGGATAAAATGAGAAAACATGCAAAAGATTAGTACAGGATCTAGCATATATTAGGTGCTTTAAACATGTTAGTAACTCCTCTGCCCTCAATAGGATAAGTGCTAAAATAATGTATATGTTGAGTGGTACAAAAGTATAAAAAATGATGATGAAATCAGCTTAAAGGAGACTTCTCAGAAATGAATTGCAAACCAGAATCTAAAAAGCAAACAGGATTCTGCCAGCTGGTTGGAAAATATATTGTAGGCAAAAAGAATAACATATGCAAGGTCGCAGAAATGAATGTGGTAAACAGAAACAGGTGACTGGAAAAGATAATGAATATGGTCCTGGCCTGGTAGCTCAGTTAGAGCATCATCCCAATAAGCCAAAATCGCAGGTTTGATTCTCCAATCTGGCACATACAAAAATCAGCCAATGAATACATATATAAGTGGAACAATAAATCAGTGTTTCTCTCCATCTCTCTAAAATCAATTAAGATATTTTAATTAAATTTATTGGGGTGACATTGGTCAACATGAACATATAGGTTTCAGGTGTGGGTTTCTATATTACAAGATCTGTATATTGCATCATGTGCCTACCACCTGAAATAAAATCTTCTGTCACCATAAATTAGAGTTCCCTTCTCTTCCAACCCCCTTCCTTCTGACAACCATCACACTGTTTGTGTTCACCAGTTGCAGTTTTATGTCCCACATATAAGTGAAAACATATAATTCTTAGCATTTTCTGACTGATTTATTTTATTTAGCATAATGTTCTCAGCATCCATACATGCTGTTGCAAATGGCATTATTCCATCCTTTCTTGTTGCTGAGAAGTATTCCATTGTGTATATGTATCTTTTTTTAAAAAAATCTTTATTGTTCAGATTATTAAAATGTTCCTCTTCCTCCTCCATAGCTCCCCTCCCCCTGGTTCCCACCATACCCCAGGCTTCATATCCCTTCTATTGTCCCATAGATGTAAGATCTTTGTCCAGTTTCTTTCTGCACCCCCCCCCCCCACACACACACCACTTTTCCCCTGAGAATTGTCAGTCTGCTCCCTTTCCATGCCCCTGATTCTATTACATTCACCAGTTTATTCGGTTCATCAGATTTTTTTATTCTTTTGATTTTTAGATTCACTTGTTGATAGATATGTATTTGTTGTCATTTAGTTGCTCATAATTTTTTATCTTTACTTTTTTCTTTTTTCTAATTTTGCTCTTTTTATTTTTTTAAATAAATCTTATTGTTCAGAGTATTATAGTTGTTCCTTTCCCCCCGCATAGCTCCCCTCCACCCGATTCCCACCGCCCCCCTGCCTTTACCCTCTCCCCTCCACTTTCCTCATCCGTAGGTGTATGATTTTTGTTCAGTCTCTTCCCACACCCTCCATACCCTTTCCCCCTGAGAATTGTCAGTCCATCCCTTTCTATGTCTCTGATTCTATTATATTCACCAGTTTATTCTGTGTCATCAGATTTTTTATTCACTTGATTTTTAGATTCACTTCTTGATAGATAGGTATTTGTTGTTCATAATTTTTATCTTTATCTTTTTCTTCTTCCTCCTTTTCTTAAAGAATACCTTTCAACATTTCATATAATTCTGGTTTGGTGGTGCTGAACTAACTCCTTTAGCTTTCTCTTATCTGTGAAGCTCTTTATCTGACCTTTGATTCTGAATGTTACCTTTGCTGGGTAGAGTAATCTTGGTTGTAATCTTGGGTAGAGTAATCTTAATTTCTTGCCACTCCTATCTGGCCTGCATAGTTTCTGTTGAGAAATCAGCTGACAGTCATATGGGTGCTCCCTTGTAGGTAATTAACTCTTTTTCTCTTGCTGCTTTTAATATTCTCTCTTTGTCTTTTGCTCTTGACATTTAAATTATGATGTGTCATGGTGTGGTCTTCTTTGGATTTCTTTTGCTTGAGGTTCTGTGTGCTTCCTGGACTTGTAAGTCTATTTCTTACACTGGTGGG